TTCAGCAGCAGAGTCCTCGAGGACAGAAGAGGAGATTCGAGAAGAGAACTTAGTGGTCCTTTTAAGGACCAAAAGAAGCTAAGCAGTCTTTCTCAAGGCTGAGAGCTGAGCTGACACACACTCATCCCACCTGAAGCTACTGGAATCTACAGTCATCCTATATTCTGCCCAACTGTGGAGAATATTTGGTCTTCAGCCTTTGGGCTGGTCAGAGGTAGACTGGTGGAGTCCTTACGAAGTACAGTATTGTAAAGTCTAGTAAGTCAGTTCTACTTTACTAGTTCCCTCCTTAAATCCATGTATATCCACTTGCAAGGATCTTTCCAGGCTTTACACAGCTGACCTATGAGCAGTTCTGTGTACCTCTGATTCTGGAAAAACCTACTTCCTCAGAGTGGGTTGGAACTGGCTGTTAGGGAACTGTAAAAGGCTGTGTTCTTGGAAAGTTGCACTTAAGACAGATGAGAGATGAAGCCATCTCCTCATTAAAATGATAAAATAAATAGTTTGGTATTTTTTCCTGTGACTTTGTGCTCTTCTGCAGTCTCTGATACACCAGGCAATTGCCTTACATAACCCTATGCTGGGAGGAGTGAGACATACAGGGTGGAAAGGTGGATCTCGGCAGACTGCAATTTGCCAAGGACTTCTTTTTGTCTCTTCCCCTCTTACAGCCTGTCCTGATAAAGCATAAGGTGTGCAGCTTTGGTGTGATGTGGTCACAGTCCCTGAAGAAATAGCCACTTACCTTCCAAGCAGAAGCAGAGCATCTGTGTCAAGCCTAGCGTCTGGATGGCAAGACTTAAGCAAGTAGCAACAGGAGAGCGTTCTGGTGAAGTTCTGGTAAAGCTTAGAGCCCAGGCTGTCCTGTAGGAAGTTCTTCTCAGAGTGACTTTATGACTGTTTGCAGCAATATGAAAACACTTTTCTCTCACACTGTAGGCTATTACTGATTTCTTTTTCTTTGTGCTATGCCTCAGTGACCGCCATCATCCACTTGTGATGCAAGTCCTAGTGTTGGGGACATTTACATTAAACTTAACTGTTAGGTCTGTCTGGAAAATCTCAGTACTGAGTTCACATCTATTTGACTGCAGTTACAATGATCCTGTCCATGCAGGCAAGTTGCAGCTTATGTCTCTAGGTAAAGGACGTAAGACTGAAAACAAAAAACAGGTTCTCAAGTTCAGAACTTATCAACATGTCATATCTATGCACTCATGCTCCTCAGAGCAGCTATTTCAGTGTTGGCATTTTCTAAAATAACCTGCGCTTCTTCCCATCTTAATACTTTTGGGCTTAAAAATACAGAAGTTGCTTGTAGTTTGTCAGCACTAAGCTTGAAGTTGCAAGGTTCTTCCCAGTCTTATTTCAAGTCTGAGTCTCCTATTCCTCATCTTACACGGGGTCTGTTTTACAAAGGTGGAAAGTTCTGTTCTCATTGTGGGATCTTCCTCTAATTCCTTCCCAAAACCCTCTTTCACACTGTCCTGCTGGGCAGCCCTGTGACTTCACCACCACCACGCTGGGATGCTCAACAGTGTTAGAACTCAAACAAAAGCAAGAAGCATAAGCTTTGCTAAACTTTAAGGGGAAGGGCATGTGGTGTCTTGAGAAAGAAATTGTTGAATCATGAAAGCACTGAAGATGGCAGCACCTTGAGCTTAGGTAAATTCCCAGAGCTACCAGGAGAAGCAGAGCAGCATATGGTACTGCTGTTTAACACCAAGTGGCTTCTGCGGCACAGACTGTCTTGAAATCCTGGGGTGAGTGTTTGCATATTCCAAGGTGTTTTAGGATGGGAATATGATCATGCTCTTAGGTAGAGTATTAGTCAAAGGGAACAGCTTATGTGAGGCCTGTTTTGGTTAATGCTTCTAGAAGTCCAGCATATATGCGTCACATCACTTTTATGTTCAGAAAGTTGCTTTGTCATGCCTATCCATTGCCTCTCTGTACAGTGCTCCCCAGTGTACAGCATACTCAGGACCTTGCAATCCTGAGGCAGGCTCTGAGCTCAGAGACTTACCAAACGGTAGGGGAAGGAGACAGGACACGCACAGCTGCCTGACAGAGCAGGGAATTCATTAGCTAATGAAAGATGCAGTGGGGCGTACCTGAGTTCTGTTCGTGTTTTGGGCATGAGACTGAAGAGATGTCTGCAAGCACTAATACCAAGAAGGCTTTCTCAATAGGCTGCTAGGCTGGTAGCCAACAGCTAGCAGCAACTTTCTACCATTTGCAGGTAGAATAGGTATTCTAGGCAGAATATCAACCGAAGGAGTGGACTGACAGAAGCTGCCTAGCAACTTCTATACTAGCCATAAGCCAGGCTGCTGAGAATAGGAGGTTACTGGGACTTTAGGCTATGCCAGTTTTAGACTCTGTTAGACAACAGAGTAAACTAGCAAACGTTTCACCGCAGTAAATACAAGTCTGAATAAGGTTCTAGCATACAGTGTTAAACTATGTTTGGCTGGTACTCAGGTCAAATGCATTTCATAATGCATCAGATGATGTATCTCTATGATTTGTAAAGGCAGATGGAGGCATGCTACTCCCAGACCTGACATCAGTTTTGACAAATCTCTGGCACATCCTGTCCCATTGCTGTTTGGTATTTTCTGCACTAGAAGAGAAGGGTCTGAGGGGCCTAATAGCAGCCCTCTAGTACCTATGAGGAGGTTATCAAGAAAGCAGAGTCAGGCTTCTCACAGCAGTGAATTGCAGGAGAATGAGAGACAACAGGCATAAATGGGAATGAGAGATTTTGGCTGGATATAAGGGAACAACTCTTCCATGAGAACAGTCCAACATTGGAAGAGGTTTTTGATGGAGGTTGTGCAGTCTTCATCCTTGGAGGTTTTCAAGACCAGGCTGATTAAAAATCTGAGCTACTTGGTCTGACCCCATAGCTTTGAGTGAGAGGTCTGACTACAGACCTCCGGAGGTCCCTTCTTACCTGAATTATCCTATCCTATGAAAATAAAGCACAGTTTCTCCATGTCCATCACACAGAACTGTTACCTGATCAACATGCTGAAAAGCTGTGATTTCCTTCCCATGGACAGCTACACATTAAGCAATTGTGAAGGAGAGCAAACTATAGCCTCAGCTGTGGAGTTGAGTCCAGTGACTTATTTCATCAGGGTGCCTCCCAAAGAAACTCTTGAGACTGGAAATTAAGATTGATGAGGAGATGGAAAAAGTATTAATTTCTGGAACTGTGTTCCAGTGACTGCAGGTACAGGTGAGCAGAAAGCTAGAGTAAACATGACTCTGAGAGAGATTAACGGTCTGTACACTTGGTGAGGGGGGACACAAGCACTCAGCCGGAGAATAGCCATCCACGAACAGGCAGCAGAACACACAGAAACATCTAGTAGCGTGGCAAAGACGCTAGAAAAATAATTAGAAAGTTGTGAAGCACTTGTCACCAAGAATTAGCACAGAAGAGTATTTAGCATGCAGCTGATTTTATGTGAAAACACTGGTTTGAAAACTGTATAAAAGCACATCTGCAAAACTTGTGATGTATAAGCACTGAAAAGTACTACAGCTTTTCTCTGCATCTGTGTTAAACATAACCTTCATGTTCACAGCCTTGTAATCCCAACAATGAAGGCTGACATGGCTGTGCTAGTAGTGATACGAATTGCTTTCAGTGGAAACCAAATGCTGTTGAAAAGCAAGAGTAGTAAATCACTGTAAGGTGCGCTCAGTGACAATATATAGTGGTAACGTACAGTTATCTCCTAATGTGAAACAGATGACTTCATCTTGCAGCCACTTAAGAGTTCTCCTACCTTTCCTCTTCTGCATTAAAGAACTTTTAGGAACTACTATTTTTCTTTTATGGAGGTAACCACATAATCAACTATCAACAGTTATTTTCTCATTCAGCTAAATAATCTAAGCCCTAAGTCTTGCTATATAGCATTTTCTCCCTTTACATATTTGAAATCCTCACCAAGAAAACAAACAAATACCCCTATTATAATATGGATGCCAGAACTATCACTCTGATGAGTGTCTCAGTGTCATACAAATCTGTTATGTCTTCAATGCATCTGTTTATTCAACAATTACATTCCTTCTTGCCCTGCCTCTGCAGGATGATCATGTTCAGCTGCTTGTCCACTCTTACCCCTAAATCCTTCCAGCATCACCACAGAGATCCCAATTGTTCTCTATAACTCTATAATAAAAAGCAGGTAGAGAAGTACAAGCATGGTGTGAAGGCCCCAAGTTGAAAAGACAGGCCCCAAAACCCTCTCCAAGGGAGTACAGGCGTTCAGTGCTGAAAGTGGTTAAGCTTACCCATGCTGAGAAGGTGTTGCTGGTGCTCCTATGTATTTCCATACTATGTTTCTTCTGCTGTTTTGGGTAAACTATCACTACTATTAGGAAAGGGTGTATAGTGCTAAGCATTCATATGTGGCTGTAATTCGTGAATATGCATATGTATATTTGAATTAACTATCTTTGGATTGACAATACACCTTAGCCAAGGTTGGGATTTCCTTTCTTCCTCATCTCTCTCCCCTTATTTGGTTGTCTGGTGTTCCGGTAACTTATTCTGTAACTTGGATGCAACAAACTTCATCAGTGTGCTTCTGGCTTTCTTGCACTTCTGCAGAGTCCCCACATATTTTATAGTCAACAGAAGCAAGCCAGTGACTTTATCAGATAACCCTCAGCACTATGGGACAAATGTTGCCCAGAACTGCCAATATATACAGTGGACAATCAATTTTGTAAATGTTCATATTTTCATATTCCTGATTTACTGGATTTAGTCCTTTGCAGTAGAGTAGTGATCATGAAGGACTTCTGCTTTTCTTGCTTTATTGTATCACTTTTACCTACCAGTGAGTTTATTAGCACCACTGTTTCTTTTTTTTTTTTTTTGGACCACATCCACTCATTCTTCATTATGCCAATCTTAGACCTTTTCCCACTTCTAATTTTACTTTTGAATGGAAGCATGCCTTGGGCCAGATGCACCACAACTGTGCAACCAGAGGGCATTAAGTCTCTCCCAGAAAACAATTCTTAGTTCTCTTTCATATCTTTTTTTTTTTTTTTTAACCCTCAGGACAATGCTACTTTGCATTTCTGCCCTTGAGAAGACATAACCCAGAAGACATAACCCAATAAGTACTGCGGCTGGGCTGCACTGCCTTTGCCAATCCTGGGTGCAACAGGACCAGCATCTCTAGGAACTGTGAACTTCCAGGGGGACTGACTGCTAATGATTCCATGTTTGGGTGTGACATCCATCTACAGCAGAACATCCTTGGAACACACATTTTGGTGCATGCTCAGTAGCCAGGTTGGTGACAGAGGGGAGCGATGGTGATGCTTCTTGTGCTACTCAGCTCTGGTACACCAGAACAGAAGAGCACAGACTGGCACAGGCTCTTCACACACTGTATGGTACCCCCAGCAGCTGGCCTGCTGTAGGGACAAAGCCAGGCTGCAGGCCAAGTCCCTCTCATTCCTCTGAAAGCACCACTGGTCTACAGCAGCAGAGGGGACTGCCTATGATGTTCACGCTCACAGCCCACACTCAAGGAGCCTTTGCACGTGCTGGAGCACTGGGGATGGGAAAAAGGGGATTTTAGTTGCAGTCCTCCTGTAATAAGGGGAGGGAAGCAGCATATGGAGCATATTCTCTCACCCCTGTTATGTCTCCAGATCATATGCCCTGGCCCTCTGCACATACTTTGTGCCCTCCTCTACTCTGAGTGTACAGTTTGTTTTCTCTCCTCTAGCTGCTGCATATGGCATGGTTTGCCCCCAGCTTGCCTGATCCATGTGCCATGCCCTTGCCCAGCGTGCTCCACAGTGCAGCCTGCCATGCAAAAGCTTGCTCTGGTCCAGCAGGGTTACAGACGCTTGGCCCAGCTGTCTCTGAATAACAGAGGATTTCAACTCCTCCAAAATGTGGGGTACCAGCAGGCATGCAAATCTAGTGACATTGCATAAGCAAATGAAATCAGTTAGTAAAGCTTTTCTTGCACATTCAGGTTACTCAAAAATGGTTTGCTCTAAAAATGCTTTCTCTTCTGCACAGTTTTCTCCTGGGGGCTAGCATGGCTTGCTGGAAGTGACAATAAGCAGTCTTTTCCTCAGGGTGGGGGACTGCCACCCTGAGTATGCCACTGGAAGCATGAAAAAACATGCCAGAGACAGTTTGTCACTTAAAAATGCTAAAAAAATTCCTTGCTTTTATTGCTGTATTTTCTCCCTATGTATTCTCTACATATTTTCAATATTACAGATTTTCACCTAAGTATTTTTAGTATTAATCACATATCTTCTAAATAGCAAAATGTATAAAAGTCACATTAAGCCTATAACAAGATTATTAAAGCAACATTTTTCTAACTCTTACTACAAAAGGAAGCAGAGGTGGTCACTAACTGACTGTTTTTAACTTTTGCTCTGCAGTTCAGCTCTTCC